ATTCCGATACGTTCACGTTTTTTGCTGACCGTTTACCATGTTATAAGAGTTTATGACGTTCTACAAATATGTAACAAGAAGAGAAACAAGAAGATTTTATAACGCGCTGCCCGTGGTTACGGCCACGAAGACATTCATATGCTGTTATAATTATTGCCTTAGTTGTATTTTAATGATGACCCTTTAGTTCTGTTTAGTTTACAAACAACGTTCTCTAAACTAGTAAAGTATACGCCTAATGTTTGACATACAACAAATTAAAAAAAATACTCATATACCTTTTGTTTTGAACACAATGAGAATACATCAAATGAGAAAAGGAAGGTAAAATTGCTTATTTGCATTCCGTACACGATATGATATTTTATCTTAAGTAAATAGTATCCAAAATATACAAGATATTACATTATAAATGTTATTATTTTGGACTTTTCATCGTAAATGTTACTATGGTATATCCAAAAACGTGCGTTGTTACAAATACGGTGTAATAGTTTCCATTGTGAAATCAGTTGAATTCATTTCCTTACATTCGCCTCAAACCCACTCTTACGACATGTAAATGTATTGACATATTGTCAGACTCCACAATCACACGAGCACCGTTGTTATCCACCGATTGAATTGAAATTACGAATAAATTCAAATTCTCGTATAATCTAGACGCGACCCAGTGGTATCACAGCGTGGCGGTCGAATAACGACAGAAAACTGTTCATTTTAAACTATAACAATGCAATGGTTTCAATGGCAACCAATTTCCATAAAACGATTCCTTCCTGTCGTGAAATAAGTTATCACAATCTTAAACGTGATTGAGATGGAATACAGAGAAATAACTAATCGAGGTTATTAGTTCCCAAATGACTCTTAACTAAGAAATCTGGGTAAAGTAAGAGGTAAAAGCTCCTACTAACAGGCCAGATGCAGATAAGAACTTCGGTACCAACTAAAGAATAAAATAGGTGTAGTTCAATTGCATCTGAATTAAAAATGTAAGAGTTATATAATATAGTACAAAGACCCACGATGATGACATACAATGCACATTGAGAAGGTACTGTAGATATAGTACCACTTTCCCGATGTATAAACAAACAGAACTACACATATTGTGGTCGAAACATTAAACGTCCAGCGTTCCATTAAAGCGCGATTTTCAAGGCATTTCCTGCCTCGTACAACCGCTCTGTGGAACCAGCTGCCGCCGGCGGTCTTTCCGAACCGTTACGACCTGGGAACCTTCAAGAAGAGAGCATACTCTTACCTAAAAGGTCGGCAACGCATTTGTAAGACCTCTGGTGTTGCAGGTGTCCATAGGCGGCGGTGATCACTTACCCTCAGGAGAGCCTCCTGCTCGTTTGCCCCTTTTTTCCCATAAAAAAAAACTATGCAGATTTATGGCCATTCATCCAGATACTACAAATCTTAAATAAAACATGTGAAGCTTCAAAAAGAAACACCATAACCTAATAGTCATATAAAATCTGGCATTAACAATTTACTCTGCAATATATTTTCATGTAATAAAGCGGCTTCATTCATCTGATGATAATTGATTACCACCGACCATCATCCACAACATCTGAGAGTTCATAGATGCGTTACCTCGCTCACAAAATGAATCCCAAAAGTATATATATATAGTAATACTTCTACTTTACGGTGATCTTCAGAGGGCTGTGATACCTCTCCAGTCGAGCTGAGCAACGTGTCCCATGCACGGATACTTAAAAAACAAACACCGTTAATCGAACATCTTTATTCCCAATTAGGCGTATGACACATTAAAATTCATTAGCAACTAAATCTAGGCCCAGGTTAATTACGTTCTAAAAGTCACGCTGCGAACCGCCGTTGCGCAGCACGAGCGAGAGTTCTGTAGGCGACCGCGAATTGTTAAAACAGCCAATCGAAGGTAAAAGCCTCCCATAATGGCGTCTCGCAGCCTGGTTCGGTTCATAAAGCAGATTTTTGTTTGCTAAACCAAAGTTATCGCGCCGGGAGACGTGGAAGTTAGCGTGCTTAATTGATTCAGGCGCCTACGTAAGCGGTTCCCTCGTTTTAACAGTTCGGAAACGCGTATTTATCTGCGAAAAGAGCCACGCGAATGTGTGCGCGTCGCGCCGAATATCAATTAGTAGGCGTCGGTGCCCGCTCCGCTGTAAAAGTGTAAAGTGCAGCCAGGCGGGGGGCGTTATGTAAATCACCCGTCGATCCACCTATACCGACACTGCGCAACATAACGCTTTTAAAATCATACACACAAATAAACACAGTACTTTTTTAACGCTACAATTTTTTTTTATCGAAGGCTTTGGTTACAGTAAAACTCAATTAATGTTACACCCAACGTGATTTCTTTTATACAGACCATTTAATATTTACTTACTTAATTTTATCTATACGGATAAAACGTTACAATAAATAGTACTGATAAAAGTCAGATACATCTGTACGTTCGTATCTACTTCAACATTAAAAGTAACGGAATGCAAAAAAGACAACACACTGTACAACTGCATACTGTTTCGTTCGAAAAGAAAGCAGTGCACAGAATGCCGGCCGTAAATACAGCGTAATATTTCAGGGAACTTTTGCTGTATTCCAAGGAGTATCGAATAAACCTTTAGAAAAAAAAAACGGGGCGGCAGCATTTGGCACTGGCCGGCGCGAAAAACTGCTAGTATGAACGGCGCGTAAAGAACACCGCGGGCGTCAGGCCGGCACCCACGGCCCATCGCGCCGCACAACACATGGCACTCGAAAATTATTGCCGCCCGGATTTTTCGAGAGCATTAATGCAAATTTATCGAGCCGCGCAGCGCTAATTGCGAGCGACGCGCTCCCGCTGATTGTTTTCTCGTCCGATTTATGGCAACACCTATTGCAGATTTAAAGCTTTAATTGTATACGATTCACGTGTTTTATTGGATAGTCGGGCGCCGGTATTTATTCGGGCGGCCGCATTCGGTGCGGTTTCGCTTATTGATTTTCCAACGGCACTGCGCGTGATGATATGCATGTTTTTAGTTGGATTTATTTATTTTCCTTAATATCAAAAACTCTGACGACATATTGAAATGTTAAATTTTAATTTTTTATATTTATACGTGGAAATGTAACCAATTACGAGTGTAAATACATTTATTTTTCACCAAGAGATTAGAATGAGAGAGATTGGATGTGTAAGAGCAACGAGAGCCGTCATTTCGCACTTAACTTTCATCAAATTCCATACTTTGTGAAGCTCTATTTTCAGTTCAGATCAAGGCTTGTTAATGACATTTGACAATTAACGAATTTAATCACTCCGACTTTGGCCGAATAAACATACAGTTCCAGCGCCAATTCACATGTATTTCATATGACCAACTTTTTAAGTCGAAGAAACTGAATACAGACTTGCTCACCAGTGAGAAAGGCAAAGATCGTAGTGAGAACTGTAAAGTGTCGTTAGAACGTAAAAATTACCTCTCAGCGACGGCGGCGGGGAGGTGTTAATAAATTAAGTGACGTCGCGTCCAAGCACTTCGGCGGAGTTAACGGCTGAAGCCTGAAGCAACTGCCGCCTTTTTCGGCCAACTTTCCCGCGCCACCGGCGCAGGAAGTTCGCCCATTATTATTTTACGCGGGCAACAAGCGGCGCGATAATATCCCGTGCCTCACCCGGCCCGCTAGCGGCCGCCTTTAATGGCCGAACGTGTCTTCTTACTTCGCGCTTAATAGGTGTAATAACTTAAGCAAAAAAGCAAGATCTGAAATTAAAGTCCGGCTCATTCGGTATCCGTGACTCTTTGGATTTAAAGCTAAATTTAGTTTCGCAGATTATCTTGGACTCTTCCGAGCGTTCGTTACGACCATAATTGATTGCCATTACGTTCTTTTCTTATTTCACTCGGCCGATAATGAGTTGTAAATTACTATAGATAGACGTTGAATGGACAAAAAGCATCGCCTAAGAAAAAAAGCTTTTGTTGTCATATTATTCTATAGAATTATGCGCGATAAATATGATAGCATTATGAAAGAGTGAATTACAATTTAAATAAAATTAAAAAAAATCAAAACTACGCGCCACATTGAGAGTTCCTTACGTGACGATTTCTACCACATTACACCTCCTACAAACCGCGTTAAGGAACCTCATTCAAATAAAATATGCATTGTCTATCTTTGTGGATACCCTCGTATTTTAAACTGCATATCACAAGCGTTTTCTCATTTACTAGGACACGCATCATTAGTTTTAACATCCAGAGTGATAACTATATTGCCGTTTCTAACATTTCCCGCGAAGCACAAAATTTCAAAAAGTTACAAAGTTCACAAGTTAAATAAAAAATAAATATATATATATAAATAAAGCTAAATGTAATAACTTTATGCTGCATACAGCTATGTGTATTCCTATAAATACGCCAATATGTCGATCGCGACAGTTTACAGTGTTTTTGTGATAAAATGTAGATCTTATTAGAAAAAAGCTTCGTAAAGAGATGACAAAGTGTGATGTGGAAGCGGTTCCTCTGATGGTACACGACAACCATCGCCCATAGACTCCCGTATCAATAGAAGTATCGCAGATGCTTTGGCAAACTTTGCTTTAAGCGTAAGCACTCTCGAACAAAATACAAAGGGATAAATACTTCTAAAAACCCAATGGAAAAATCGGTTGATAAATGAAGGAGTTCTAAGGTAACAAACATAAGAAAACAAGCCTTATTGAGATTATCTTTTATGAAATCGATTGAAAAATGAATACATTTTCTTTTCCCCAACCCAATGTTTGAATAGTGAACATTAAGTCACGTATAGTGAAATGAATCAGACATCAGAATTACGTCGAACATATCTCGTTCGCAGGCGGAGCGCTTAAACAACGATCTGGAAGCAATTACCCGCCCTCGTAAACGACTCCTTCACGTGGGCACGCGGCGTCGCGATGCGGCGTAATAGGATAACATAGTTGTCAGTTCCATTGTCCGTTAAATTATTCACGACACGTATCCGTCGGCCCAGATCTTCGGCGAGATCGTGCGATATGGGCCATTACGCGCGCTCCCATATTTCATGGCTGACGACAATCGTGACGGCATTGTGTATAGCTGCTCTTGTTTAATGATATCGATTTTAATATCGCCGCGTTTGTAGAAAGCTACGACGCGGTGTCCCTCTTCGCCAGACGTGTCGAGAACGACGTGGATTTCCAATGCGACTGTATAGTTAGTCATACTGATGAAAGTAAAGCATGATATATTCAATTCGTATATTCGAGCTTAGGAATACGTCTAAAGCTAAAATATATTAAAAAGTGCTGTAATTACTATTGAAATCACAAATTTTTTTTTTTGGTAAATTTTACGTATTGCCGTACAACTTTTTTTTCACAATGAGCCTCCTCCGAGTTTACTATCTATCCAACGTCACATTTACATACTCCTCGGCATCGCGGTCCGGCGTTGCTATTGGTTGCAGAATCGGTTCAATTGTTCTCTGAATTGCATCGAACCAACGACAAATACTCAGTTTATATAAATCGAAGATTTTTATTAATCAAGAACTCCATAACGCACGAGGGAAATGCCTAACAGCTATAGTATTCTCCATTGTTCAAGGGAAATTAAACTTTGATTTCCTTGCTTCCATTAGTGACATTGATTTTAAAGCATTATAAATCAAATAATTTTTGATGTTGACATTTCTTGTCTTCTGGAAAATTATTTAAAATAGAACCACGAATCACCTAACTTAAATAAGTTCATAACGGCATCAGCAGGGACAGTAAAGATAAACCAGAAGAAATTATCTTTTTAAATTATCTTTTGTTATCGGACGGATAAATGGTCTATTGACTATTCACTTTTCAACACTCACAAATTTGACGCCGTAATTATTCATGGGAATTATTACAAAGTAATAAAAAAATAGAACCCAAATTATTTTTATAGAATTATTCATATAGGAAACAAATGATGTCCCATAGCTAATACAAATTGCGTAAAATGTAAACAAAACGATCAAGATAATGTTGCTACAAATATTAAAATGTAACGAACATATGTATTCCTTATAGAGCGAAATTTGAGTCAAATGCCCGTCCGTACTAATTATCCAGAGCCTGTTCAATAAATGGAAGACAGTTATTATATGAGAGGCCTTAGATACGTGTCTACAAAGTTAAGAGGCAAGCCAGTAGCCGGAGGGGATCGTACGAGCTATTAAAAATTAATCGCGCATTCATTGATATCTGGATAATTCTTGAGTTCGGACGCCCCGGCATCCATCATTACGGGCACCGACAATTCAATTCGACACATCTTCGGGGTTTCACCTCGCCCAATAATTACCCGGAGCCACCATTAAGCGGGCACAACAGAACGCCGGTAATAACGTTGCAATTAGACGGCCGCCGTCATTAGAACGTAATAGAGTTTCGTACAACAATTTGTGTGTGGAATCGTCAAGCGTGTCACATTACCCCCGCGTCCATTAGGGCGTTTACACAACACGGAATTGAAACCGGCGCGGCGGTCCGCAGATTATCGTGATAGACAAACAGCTACGCTTTGTCTCGATAATAACGCCTTCTACGGGGTGCTCCATTGTCCCCGTTGATCACTGAACTCACAAACTACAAGTCGATGATTTATTCGTCCTGTTTAAAACGATCAGTTTAACAACGAGTGACTTTTAAACTTAAACAACACCGTGATAGACCCGCTCATCAACCTCTGCTATCCCCCTAATAGAAGACCGTCGTAATGTGGTATATAGTATTTTGTGTCTTGTGAGTGAGGTATTCGGCCATTCATCTCGAAAGCTCATGTTACTGCAACCAGTACGTGCCGGGGACGGCTACGGGTGACGATTATCATTTCCCATCAGGGCCAACTACACGTAGAGCTGGCTAATCACAAAACAAATTATAGATTGGAAGGCCCTACCACAAGTGTAATAGGTCCATGCTTCGGGGTCAGTCTTCGCTGTTACAAGAATGGGCAGGTCCTTCCGAGGAAGTACCACGATCTCACAGAAGACCGTCGTGAAGAGGAAGGGTTATACTTCTGCATTTCGTCTGGAGAGTGAGGTAGCCCGTTCCCAATTTACGGGTGGTTGCTTTTGCTAAATATTTATGGGTGGCGGTTTTCACTTAACATCAGGTGGAACGCCAACTCGATTGCCATCTTCTTACATAGAAAAAAATATACTCTGATTAAAAGTGAAACATCTTTTTAATTGACTTGGTAATAAAATAATATTATGGTAAAATCACTATACCAAAAACGATAGTCCTTTGCATGTTGCCAATAAATCACTGGTATTTTTAAGATGTAAAGATATTTTGTCGTTTCGGAAACACAAACTAAAACAGTCTGTATATGCGAACAGTAAGCGCATATGTCGGTTATCCGTTGAGTATCCGGACGAATTCGGCAGGTAGCACGATAATATCCACACATCGGGAATTAGGATCGACGCGATAAGATCTTATCTCGCCGACATTAAATAACATGTTTCCTGCAATCATCGCCGTAATTTTAATAATATAATTACCAGTTTCGTCTGTCGGCTTTTCAGACCCTGTAATGATGTGCACCAACACAAACAACCTGTCGATTATACCTTGATACAATGGCCTCGCTCCTAAACATCGTCTATTATAACATGTTACATGTTAATAGCGTCATACTTAACTTCGAAGATGATAAATGGTAGAAACCCAAACGAATATTAGTCTGATATTCACTAATTATTGTAAACTGATTTTAGTCTTTTTTACTAATCATAGAAATAGTAAAACATACTTTATTCGCACTACAGTGTTATTAAACAAGTGAAACACTAAATCGCAAAAAATTTAAACATAGATACATAAATTCACAAAACTTAAAAAAAGATATTCGATATATGCTTATTGGAATTAATATACTTAAACGAAATAAAGACTAAATATGTCGTCCAACCCACAAACAATATATATGCAACTTTTCTAGCAGAAGCAAAAATGTTCCAGAATGAAACCTCTCACAGAAGAAACACAACTAACAAAATGAGTGTTTAAAATGCTTATGCATCAAACAAGCCTTCCGTCAAAACCAATATATTGATGGCGGGAAAAATTGCCACTTTGGAAGGAACGCCGTATCCCTTCCACATTTTTTTTAATACGCAATATGTTGCAAGATAAATTTGAACATTTATCTCAGAACGCGTTAGTTACGCCAACTGAACTCATTACTGACTTGAAAATTAATAATAAAGGATTTGGTTGTCGGCCTAGCTTTTTTAAACGTTCGTGCATATGGTGTTACAATGATTTATCTCCGTGATGAATCTCATCGTTACTTTTTATGAATAAAAATTTCGATCCAAATTTGTTGCTGGTTGAAGTTTTATATTTAATTTTCTCTCATCAGCTATGATAATTTAATGGCGTTGCAGCCTGATGATTGGTGAATGACGTAGTTCTTAGTGCCTTGTAAGGCTAACCCTCCCTAATTATGCAATTAATTTAAACTGTAGGTGAAATAAAAAACGCAAACTACCTCATTCAAAACCTAACGTATAGTTTTTTTTTATATACGTTAAATTGAAATTTTATACTTCTGCGTTTCGTCTGGAAAGCGAAGAAACCGAGGACCACTTTATTAAAAGGTGGCAAAACATCTGCAACCCTGGGTGAGGGGTGTAGGGTGTTGCAATTGTCAATGGGTGGTGGTAATTATTTAATATGAGATGAACCGTCAGCTCATTTGCCATCTTCTTACAAAAAAAATGTTGGGCTTAGTTTCTAGGTTATGGCAATTAGTCTTTCGAATCATCAGAAATTTTAATATCACGTAGCGTGCTCTGTACATAATTGTATGGTATCCTGGCGTTCAATCTGTATAGTAATAAACATCATAATATCGTCACATTAAGGAGGTAGAGCAGGTAATACGCAACCGCCAACGCTCACTAATGACGGTATCAACTTATTGTTTTAAATCGTTGCCGCCCTCTAATTTCGGCCATTTTGTAATTAAGGCCTAACGTGCCGAAAAAAAAGACATACACAAAATTCACCCCTTCGCGTTCTTCATCTGCGGTTGACGGGCCAAAATAACGGCTTTCGTAATTCGATTTCGGTGCTTCTCCAATTTGTGTTCAACAATGTACACTGTGGAATTTTCACGGAAACGTCGGGAATTATGATGCTTTCTTTATTTTTCAACGTAAACTGCCAAAGGAAACTTCGTAACGACCGTCCAATTAGTTTAAGAATCCGCACAGAAGCGCTCGTGGACCCTAAATTTTTTTTCCCCAATTAAATGCAAAACTCGCCCCGACCGAGCGACGCACCAACGGTGGTTACATAAAAATTTAAAGTCCATATAATTCGCGCAACACAAATTTTTATTACCTACGGCCCTATGAGTAAGTAAACAAAAGGAACAAATTAACCAGCCTCGGAAGACGTTGTCCGCCGCTATATCCCGCCCGAGACACAAGGGTGTAAAAAGTAAAACAATAAGGATTCCGTGCGGCGGCGGGGAAGGATATTTATTGTTAATGAAAATGGCGGGATTTGAACTAACGTCTTGTAACTAAATACCCTCTCACGGTTAAAGCGGGCACTAATTTGGTTTTTATAGCGCGTCCTTAATTTGATTTGGCGGCATTGCGGGCGCCACTATTGCCAGCAGGAGCAATTAATTTGGCCGGATTATATTTTTTCCGACGCGCGTCGCTCGACAAGCCACGGCGCGCTAACGCGCCCGCTACGCGCCCGCACGGACCGACGGGGAAAAAGAAAAAGTAAAAACTTAAGCCCCGTTTAATTTGAAGGGTGGTTCTGGGCTATTAAAGTAACACGCTTATGTATTGCAAATTATATTGAAATTTGTCTTCCATTACTGAGCGCCTTCCTCACACAAATGTTGCCCGCATTACGAGCGGGAGATTTTTATTCCGCGCTACGCCCACCCCTGTCTCCCGGTTTTTTACTTCGGAACTTTTGTGGTGCCTTTTTTTCTCGCTAATTAAAATCTCTTCCGCGCTGTTTCCTCTCAGAAACGAGATCCAATCAATTAAGTTTTAGGTGGCGTAAGCCGCCCCCAAAATTTACTGGTCTCCTAAAAACAATTCGCTTCGAAAAATTTTACTAAAGTAATTGATCAAACAAACTTTACGCTTTCAGAGATGGCTTTGGATGCAAAATGAGACCGCAAAAATGTAATTTAGTAGAAAT